ACATATATATATAAATATTTGTTACTCGCTTATCATTGTTCGCTGACATTATTTTCAAAGTATCGTATAACAGTTCATAGAGCTAATATTTGTCACAGCGAACGTATCGTAGTAATAATAAGCTGACAGGAGAAATATGTTTGGATAACGTGATAGTTGTCACGTCGTACGCTGTAAAGATTACTGAAGCCGCGGGCCCGCGTTGAGACGTGGAGAGAGAGCGGCCTACCAGCTGTTCCTGTTACTGATATACCGTAATAATTCCAACTTTACACACCCGATGAAATAAACGCAATGTTTGTGTAAGCGTAAATGCACTTGTGCATATTTACTTGATGGAATATTAATCAATAAAAACGATGCGACGAGTATGTCAATGAGGTTTACGTTCGGCAGCAAGATTTACGTTTCTGGTGGCACGTAGTCTGGTGTCTGGTCAATGTCGTTAAAAGTGGGAAGCGCATGCTGTCGCAGTGACGCGCGGTAATCATTTTTAGTATCAGGTTGAGAACGTGATTAAAAGGGGTTTTGAAGGAGGTGTACGCGGCAGTGAATCGTAACAATGAGGATGAGCGAGCCCAGTGGAAATATGTTTAGAATAGTGTTACTACTTACGGTGCTTATACCTTCTATCGTGGATTCCAATTATTTCGGGACGAACGACAAAAAGAACGATCAATGCTTCTGCAAGGTATTTATCATTGTCGTTTCTACGTTATTCAAATTTTTTAACAAGCACAATGAGAAAATAACCTACGAGGATGTGTTGAAGCTGTCATTGTTACGAGTATACAAATGTCTGTCACTGTTTTCGTAACCATGAACAATTTTTTGAAATACAGCTGAAAGGGTCGATCGATGACTGCAGCTGCAGCGTGGATACTGTGGATTATTTTAATAACGTAAAGATTTATCCGAGACTTCAGAGTCTTCTAGTCAGAGATTACTTTCGCTTTTATAAAGTAAATCTAAAACAAGAATGTCCGTTTTGGAGCGATGACAGTAAATGTGCAATGAGATACTGTCACGTGCAACCTTGCCAAGACGTGAGTATCTAATACTTTAATTTAATCTTGTAACATCTGTTTCAAAACTACAAATTTACATGTACAGTATTTCTCTTTGTATAGGAAGATATACCAGAGGGTTTAAAAGGAGATGTATTAAGGAATTTTCATTTTAATGAAAGTCCTATAGATAAATACAAGCCTGAAGCACAGTTCAGTGATTGTCTATATAGTGCTAAAGATCACAACAGAGAACTCGGCTATTTAAACACGACAATTAGGTACAGAGAATTATTTCTTCTAAGTAAAACTGAATGCCTTCGTACAAAAATTAATTTTACCATGTCACATTTAGTTTAGAGAAATACAAAGACTTTGAACTATGGCAACAGTATGACGACGCTCAAGATAACTTTTGTGTGAAAGAATCTAGTCCTGGAGAATATGTGAACCTACTGTTGAACCCTGAGAGGTATACAGGATACAAAGGACCCAGTGCGCATAGAATATGGAGAAGCATTTATATGGAGAATTGTTTTAGGTATGTATTTAAATGACAAGACTAAAGATCACGTTCACAAGTCGAACCACCAATTTCAGACCCGAGAATTCGCCACACAACTTTATTCAGTCTTCGAAAATAAATGGTAAGGAGCTATCGTACGATAATGTGATACTAATATCTTTTAATTAATGATATGTGAGATAACGATATCTGTTTGATTCTAATGTTACAGGAATGTGCTTAGAAAAACGAGTTTTTTACCGTGTCATATCGGGCCTTCACGCCAGCATCAATATACACTTGTGCGCAAAATATTTGACATCGTCGAAAGACACTTTGGGAATAGTTCCTGGCGGTGGTCAGTGGGGCCCTAATTTAAAAGAGTTCAGGAGAAGATTTTCACCGGAGGAAACTGGAGGCGAAGGACCAAACTGGTTGAAAAATTTGTACTTTATCTATCTACTCGAGTTGAGAGCTTTAGAGAAGGCTGCACCATATTTGGAGAGGGAGGAATATTATACTGGGAATAAAGTACAAGACGCGGACACTCGTGTGGCGATTAACGATGTCTTAAACGTCGTTAGGTAACTTTTATTTCACAATTATTTAAGCAAAGACCTATAGAGTTTATACATGTTATTCGGTACATTTACTGTAGATCGTTCCCCGAGCACTTCAACGAGAGTGTCATGTTTACTGGCGGGGCTGAAGCGCAGTTGTTGAAAGAAGAATTTAAGCAACACTTTAGGAATATATCTAGAATTATGGATTGCGTAGGATGCGACAAGTGCAAACTGTGGGGTAAACTGCAAATACATGGTTTGGGCACAGCGCTGAAAATTTTGTTCTCTGGGAAATTCGATAGATGGGAACCGACGTTGATTCATTTCAGTAGAAAGAAGTTCTACTTGGAAAGAAGCGAGATTGTAGCACTCATAAATGCTTTTGGAAGGTAAGCATCGGGCGCTAATAACGTCTTTGCATGCATTAATTACCCTTTAATTTGCAGACTGTCTGAGAGTATCTTTGAGCTGGACAAATTCAGACAAATGATGAGATAGCAATACCACGACTCGAGTTACTGCAGTAAAATACATCACACAAATTAAGTTATACATTTTTTAATTATATAGTAGATTTATATAGCGACTCATTTGTACATCGGATAGAAAGTACTTTTACATTTTATACGGTATAAAGTCGCAGTAAAAATATTTCCTCTTTATTTTTCATTTGCGGCGAGAACTAACTCATTGTCATTAAGAAACGAGTTATATTTCACGCTGTCCAAATTGCAAGGAGTTATGTTGAAATTTTATTGCGATTTTACTGATAACTCTTCGACTCTATCTGTGATAAATATTTTCTCTGTAGAAACGATTCTTCTACCTATTTTGTGCGATGCAATACTTCAGTTTAGAGACAGCTTAGATGTATCGATTTGTTGAATTTTTAAAATATTTACATTTTATTTGATGCTACGAGAATTAGAACTCGCCTCTCCTCGAGTTTACACTAGTTTCAACAAATATTATCAGTATTGTACAGTCTTCTATATACATGAAATAAAACAACGATTAGCAGTCCTTTTTCTTTCAAGGGAAACTCGATTTTAATACGTTACGTTTGAGGGAACGTACGTTATAAAAATCGTCCAAGATAGACCAATTTTGTATAACGATGTACATTTTTTGAAAAATCTTATATTCCATGTTTTTATATTGTTGCGCGTATAACGAAGACGATATAAATTTTAATATTATTTTCCGATAAATTTACATACAACATACCAGTGTACCATACTTCGATATCTAATAATTATTTACCAAACGTTCAACGTTACTGTATATACACGTATTATTAGTATAATTTATTGTCAGTGAAAATCATGCCGTTTGTAATTTATAAAATGTATAACAATGTTCAGTTTACTTCTTAAAGTAGATGATTTCCAGCGTGCTAGTAAATTTACGAGATTTAACTAGATGAATCAATTCGCCCCTACATTTTTTCTGGTAAAGTGATTCATCTGGATAAATCAAGACTCAACTCTAATTATACGAATTTGAACACAGCGTGAAGAAATTGATATTTTATATACGAGCTCACGTGTAATAGTGCACCGATTTCTTTGGAATGCATAATACATAGCAGGTTCATCATGTAATCCATTTATTTCTAAAAAGAAACAAAAAAAAAAAAATACTGTATGATACGATTGTAAAAGGTAATGGGTTTTGAATAAAACGAAATTGCAATGTTATCGGCCTCATCTAAATTATCTCCACGTCTCTTCCTGTACCGAGAATTCGATCCTGTCATCTCTGTACCCTTCGCTAATAAATCTCCGTCAATTTATTTGCCTACAGATATTTTTAAACAGTTGCCCGATACATTTTTCCTTACGTAATTTTATATGCCCTTTCATTGGAACGAGCGTCGGTCAGTTTCGAGCTCGGTGCGAGGATCGCAGAGTACGATGTAATATCAACGCTTCAACGTCGATAATCATCTCGGATAACAGACACTTGGGTGTCTGCTATCCGAACCCGCAGAATGCATCGCAAATGTATGTAGTCGGTCCTCGGCCACCCTCAGGGGCGATCTTGGGGAGCGACGGTACGTAGTACTTTAATTATATTAGTTCGATACATTCGACCAACTTTCGAGCTGATCGCTTCATAAAATCCTTTGACAAAACTTATCGCCGCAATCTATCTATAACGAGCGGAACGGGTAAAGCGCGACGTTTCAAAAGAGACTGGAAGAAAGAGAGAATCCGATGGACGTATCAAGGTAAAACAGCTTCGTATTGCCTTAATTTCCTCAGATATAATTGACCTCTGATTGACTGTTTGAGAATTTAGATCATAGGATCGAAAACCACGCGCGTCTATTAAATTCTCTCGACGATGACGACGGTTAACAGAGTCAGCGTTCGCTTCCATCCTGTCAGCTACACCCTTTATCGCGTTTCCGGGCTCTATTATGTCTATAGCATTCGTACGCGGTCTAAACAAATACTCGGTATCGTTAACTGTCATCGGGCCAGGCGTCTTGTGGGAGGTCGTTGGATATGTGTGCAGGACGTGTTATAAAACAACCGGCTGAAAAATTTTGTTTTAGTCAGTCACAGCGCGAACGTGGTCCGCCCTTCGCCGCTGAGTATCCTCGAGGAACGTCGAGGGAAAATATGATCGCGTCAGTTTTGCGTAACATTGCGCGCCGTGTCATCGGTAAGCAGAGTATAAGACCTTTGAAACACGAAATGAAAAAGAATTATGCTCCGTTTATCGTTGGTGCGACGCGTAACAAACATCGCTTGGATCTCGATTGGCCAATGATTCGTCTGTCACCGATTGCGCTCACTGACTTTCGCGATTCCCATATTCTAGCATAATACTGCCGGACCATTTGAGAGGCATTATGCTACGAATATGTGGCATCGTAAGTTTATTGTAATCTCTGTGCAACAACGGTACGAGAACAAGGCCAGTGTCTCGAGCGGATTGAAAGATACAGTGATCGATTCTCTAATTTTCCGTCAGAGATGAGCGATAAGAACAACAAGTACGTGTATTCGGAAATAAAAGTCATCGCCACCGGGTTATCGTTTTCTTATTTTTATTCATGTTAGTCGCAAGACGAGCCGTTGCGTAGTCGAGTCTGAAAGATGCGCGTGGCCGTAGTGGGTGCCGGTGTGATCGGCATGACGAGTGCCCTCGCGGTGAAAACCAATTTCCCGCAGTTCGAGGTGCACGTATACGCGGATCAATTTTCACCGGACACCACCGGGGATGGAAGCGCCGGCCTCTGGATGCCCTACCTCCTAGGGCACACTCCTGGTCACAAGATATCGTGAGTACCTTCAATCTCGACACAGCTCGAGATTTTCTAGCGCGGTATGGAAAATTCAAATCCGAGTTTTAAACGCGATCGAGACAGACGATGGGCCGGGAGCACGCATCGATGGTTCGAAGAACTGTGGAAGGCGGGTTTAGCTTCTGAGACTGGACTTTCCTTGATACCGTTCTATTACGTTACCACGGATGCTACTTGCAATTCCAAATCTTGGATGAATCTCGTATACGGTGCGCACAGGCTGCGACCAAACGAGTTGGAGAGCATCAACGCGCAGCACAACACCGATTACAAGTATGACGATACTTTTACGATCGCTCGATTCCGCAAATGTACAGCTTATTTTGACGATATCAGAGACGGATGGAATTTTTTGACGTACACCGCTGAACCCGTCTACCTGTTACCTTGGCTAACGAGGAAATTCGAAGAAGCGGGCGGGAAACTTTGGAAAAGAAAGATCCGGGAGCTGCGAGAACTGATCGACGAGGGATACGATTTGATAATAAATTGCAGCGGTCTTGGCGCGCGTGAACTCGTCGGTGATGATACGGTTGTACCTATCAGAGGTCAAGTCGCCAGGGTTGGTATAAATTACAGAATTACTTTATACGGTGAGACTCGTCTGGGTTTCGTTTTGTTCAAGGTGGCGGCATCGTGGGTGTTTCACGGAATATTGGAACAGCACGACCATGGAAGTTACATCATACCAAAGTAAGAATCATAAATAAAGTTTGAAACGTTAAACGCAACGTATTAAGGATGTATTGGCTATACAGTCAATCCCAAAAGTTTATGCACTTTAGAAACGCATTTCCTATAATTAAAAAGAAATCAGACGTCGGAAGAATAATGCTAATAATAAATAGCTACGTGCTAAAAAGTATAGAAGGAAATATCCAATTAAGTATTGACGCTGACGAAAATTTTTCTTTTTCTTTCAAAATTGCGAAAAATGATTCAAAGAAAAGTTGTTTTCCTTCTAACTTCGATATTTAACGAGTTACGTATGATTATTTTGCATTTTATTCATGTTGACAAAATCCGACCATCCCACCGTCGAAATGGCGAACTTTTGGAAAAAAATTTCGTTTTTCCTCAATAACTCCTAAACCGTTGGTTCTACGGGAAAATTGCATATAACCTTTTTTATAGAGGACAACGAGATCTACAATTTCCATATAAAAGTTTCTCGCTAGCATTAATATTTAACGAGTTATTGACGAAAAACGAAAAAACAGTTTTTCGTCAATAACTCGTAATCTATTAATGCTAGCAAGAAACTTTTATACAGAAATTGTAGATCTCGTCGTCCTCTACAAAATGCCCCCAACAACTTTCCCTTACG